TCCTTGGTGTGCTCATTTTTAATGAATCTGAGGACAGTTGGGGAAAACAGGTCTGCCTTTGCACAATGCGACACAGAACCTTAAAAAAAATTGATTTCTGTTTACTTACACATGTTAGCTATAACTTAGAAGTGGAAAAAAAGTTGTGACATAGATTTTAATTTTTGGTGTCATGTCCATGTTTGCTTGGAATTGCCCATATATATTTTATCACCCTATATAGGTTAGAAAAGTCATGATTGAGGGAGGCTTTTTATTTTTACTAAAAAAATATGAAACAAAATACCATAGAAGACATGCGGGCGGTTGTGATAAACTATTCATTTTTTTTATTGTGCCTTATTTTAGATTAGTTGATTTTTAAGGCCTTGTTTAATAACATGATGTTTAAGAGGTTTAGTAAGTAGAGCAGTTTTTTAGTCCCGATGTAGAATTTTATGTTGAAACAGGATTTAAACTGAGAACCCTGGAATTAGAAAGGAAACATCTAAACCATCAAGTTACACATCCACCCCAAATAGATACACATGTTACCATTATTGAAAAAACGATAGGGTAACATAGAAAAATACCGCACAATAATTTGTTTTAATAATCCCAAATATGTAAAGTATGGTAGTGTAGCTTCTGCAAATTTTATAATCAGTGGGGTATCTAATGGCGCAAGGGTGGCGGGAAGAAGCTTGTTCCTCCCTACCCCCCTCCTTTTAAGAAAAAATATGATGCTCAAGTATTTTCCCAGCTAGCACCCACTAAAGTCAATAAGCCCTCCCACTAAATCTGCATCACTCCCCCCCACATTTCTGTACTTCTAGATACCACTAATTATAACAGCTACAGTTCTTCGTATTAGATCCAAATTCTAAGCCTTTTTTGACTAATGTAATGTAGCAACAGGGAATTCACACCTACTACATACATTTTTCTTCACTTTGACACAGTGTTTATCTGGTTTATCCAACCATGGACATTCAGTGTTTACAATTGTTAGTTTTTACATTGCAGAGTCAAGCACCAAGTGTTCTTGAATGGAACTTGAAGAAATTGTTCTTGAAAGAACATTTTTTCTTTGTTTTGATTTACTTTGTTCATGATCGTTGAATATGTAAAAAAATATTATAAGAATAAAGTGAGGAAGTATGTGTTTATATGGCTGTTATCTAATTAGGCATAATGGGCCAATCAAACGTAGTCACCTAAGCCTAAGCTTAGCCAAAGCTCCTCTAGTTAAAAACCAGGATCTTCCCCTCACATTAATGTTAGTACATAACTAAGCAGTTAATATGCTAATGGGATTTAGAAAAAAAAGTATAGTATGGAACGCCACTTGTGCCAAAATTGATTTATTTCACGTGTTTTCACTGATTAAGACAAAATTTAAAGACTGGAATCTAGTCTTCCCACTAATTTTAAGATTCCTGCAATTAAAGACTGCTTTTCTGTGGCCCCATATTAACAGATGTCTTTTATCTTTATTATTCTAATTAGAGACCAAAGCTGCTAAAGAGCATGGAAACCCCAATCCAAAAGGACCTGTACTTAATTTTTATTAAAAGTTACAAATAATGCACAGTATAATTGCAATGTAATAAATACATAAAAACAGGAACCTATGCTAACATATAGGATACATTATATAACACCAAAAACACAAGGAGAATGTTCAAAATATGTATACTGATTTACAAAGTACAATACAATACAATACAATAAACTTTATTTCCGGCAATAAACAGAATACAATTGTACAATTCATGTCTTCTAAATAAGGAGCAAGAAATAGAGGAAACTGAAGTAAATTAAACTTATATGGTGTTTTCCCCAGAACATTTAAATATTATTATTATTATATTATTGTTATTATTATTATTGTTATTATTATTATTATTATTATTAAGTATTGAATTATTTTTAGATTTTAAAAAATTGATTTAGACAGCTTTTTATATTAATTACAGATAAATCCAGTATTAATAGAAATGAATATAAATTCTATATTAAATTATTATGTTTATTGATACATTTAAAAAAATCATTACCTGTAATTTACCTGTAATGTATTTTAAATGTACAATTCTCACGTGTTAATGTTTGTAAAAATGGTATTTTTGGTAGACTGTCTTCGTTTTATAATAATTGTGTTTGTAATAATCCTGAATTTGATATTTTTCATTGTAGTTTCTCTCAGTTTAATTCTATCACATTTGAGTCTGTAAAATAACTTTAGGTTTTCCATTGATATTGTGTAAGTTTTTATATTTTATATTTTCATCCTGTAATTGGTGTATACACTGTTTGATGTGCAATAAATAAATAAATAAATAAATAAATAATTTTTGTATTTCTTAAATAAATAAATAAATAAATAAATAAATAAATAAATAAATAAATAAATAAATAAATAAATAAATAAATAAATAAATAAATAAATAAATAAATAAATAAATAAATAAATAAATAAATAAATCCACTGGAAGGAATCCCAATATCTGCAGACGGATCCGTTTCGGCCTTCCAGGCCTCATCAGTGCAGCTAGGGTTTAGACCCAAACGAAACGTTGACCAGCTTAGTAGGGCCCAAACTAGTCCAACGACCACTAATGATTACAGAGCCAAACCAAGGCAATATATACACAGCCCAGGTGTGAATGCAAATAGTGGAATACAAGCTATGTGGCTCGGTTCCAGTAGATGCAGAGAATATTTTCTCATTCTTAATGCGTCCTACGAAATTCTTACGAGACAGCACTAGTCCGTGAATTTGTGAACAAGATCGCATTATGTGGCCGTTTGCTGTTTTATGGGTTTTTCCCATTTGCCTTTTAAAATTTATATATTATTAAAGAATCTCTATTGAGATCCAGCGGGCCGCCATTGATGCACGGTAGAGATTGCATCTTTAGATCTCCGATCTTGTTCACAAATTCACGGACTAGTGCTGTCTCGTAAGAATTTCGTAGGATGCGTTAAGAATGAGAAAATATTCTCTGCATCTACTGGAACCGAGCCAGATAGCTTGTATTCCACTATTTGCATTCACACCTGGGCTGTGTATATATTGCCTTGGTTTGGCTCTGTAATCATTAGTGGTCGTTGGACTAGTTTGGGCCCTACTAAGCTGGTCGAACGTTTCGTTTGGGTCTATACCCTAGCTGCACTGATGAGGCCTGGAAGGCCGAAACGGATCCGTCTGCAGATATTGGGATTCCTTCCAGTGGATGCTTAGTTTATTTTGTCATTCTGATCGGATTTTCTCTACTGTTCCGTTTTAATTTTAAATACTTTTGCATTATGTGGCCGTTTGCTGTTTTATGGGTTTTTCCCATTTGCCTTTTAAAATTTATATATCTATATATATATATATACAGTATATTATATATTTTATGTTTTTGAATGCATATTTATTAAACCCCTCATTACTGTATATTATGATCCATATTTGACTTCAATATTGCATTGGCGTGTCTCTTGAACCAATCTAATCATTGGAACTGTATTGGTGAGCCTTGTAAAATGTAGATACCTGTCAACAAAGATACTAGAAACACAAGATAGAGTTCTCCACACAAAAAAAGTGTTCCACCGAAATGCATGGTGGGAATACAAACAATGGGACGTCCCTTACGACTGGATCTAAAAAAACTTCAACCAAACTTTCGTTACCAAGTCGTCGCATATTTTATTGTCAATTCTCAATTTAAAAAATGTACACAATTGTACAATTGTACCCAGACAGTGACAACGGTGAATACATAATTCCTTAGCAGAGGTAGAAATCGTTGCTATTTTCCAAATAAAACACAATTAAGCCTATGGATCAGTATAGAAAACAACAATACAGCGCAGAATCGTATGGCCGGATGCACTCTAGTAATAAGTTTTCCTCCATTAGTGGAAAAAGAAGGGCACCGTGTGCGTCTGGATGTACTTAGCAACAGAAGGGTGCCCTGTACGTCGGGCACAAAGTATAGAAAACTTGCATGTTTAAAAAGAAGGGCGCCGCCTACGTCGGGCACAATTTCATTTTTACTGTGCGAGTGCTCTATCTTGTGTTTCTAGTATCTTTGCTGAAAGAATAAAAATAAATACAAAAAAAAAATTCAGTACTAAAGTATTCATACCCCAGGTTTTAAGTAAACAACCATTGATCTATATTCAAACTGCCAGAGAATGGGTGACAGAAATTTGGGGCCACGTTCTAGCGTCACTTCGTTTCGTAAATTGTAAGCTCCACACAATGAAGAAGCCATAGAACCCTTCATGGATTGAATTATAATAACATGTGATTCTTTCTTGTATATTTCAGGTACACCATTAAAAAGTATTTATCCATTCTAATGATATCCATGGGTATATGTATATGTACCATTATGTCTGCGCAGACTGTTGTGAGTAGATACATTTACATTAAGATATGAGTGATTATCATCATCATTATCAATGATCATAATATAATTATTGTTATCATCTTCATTATCCTCAACATCACCGCTGTCACCACTACTATGAGCAAAGCATTATCATCACCAGCATCATTATCACCACTATTGTCGTCATCATCATCATCATCATCATCATCATCATCATCATCACCAAGTGTTACTAATAGTATCATTGTCAATATCTTTGTGTTAAGTATCATGTAGCACTAATAAATATTTTTTATGCAACACCAACCCCTTAATGGTGTGATTCAATTAAAACTTAAGCTAAGACTACCAGCGTACTGCAAGGTTAGAATGTAATATGCTGGTATGATTAATTATAAAATTTACTCTTTTGAGAGCAAGATTGTTATTACATTCATTCATCCATTCATTCATCCATTCATTTATTTATTTATTTATTCATTCATTCATCCATTCATTCTTTCATTCATTCATTCATTCATTCATTCATTCATTCATTCATTCATTGAATCCAGTCATCCATATACTTATTCATTCATTTATTTATTCATTCATTTGTTTATTCAATGATTCATTTATTCAACTATTTATTCATTCATTCATTTATCAATTCACTCATCCACTTATCCAACTATTCATTTATACGTTATTCATTTATTCATCTGTTTATTTATTCATCCATCCATTCATTCATCTATTCATTTATCCATCACTCATCCATTCATCCATTTGTTCATTTGTTAATTCATTCATTCATTCAATTATTCATTCATTAATTCATTCATTCTTTGAATCCAGTCATCCATATACAGTACTTATTCATTCATTTATTTATTCATTAATTTGTTTATTCAATGATTCATTTATTCAACTATTTATTCATTCATTCATTCATTTATCCATTCACTCATCCACTTATCCAACCATTCATTTATCATTCATTCATTTATTCATCCATTTAATTACTCATCCATTCATTCATTTAATCATTCATTTATTTATCCATTTATCAATTTTTCCATTCATTCATTCAATTATGAAAACAAATTCTGGACATACATACATTTGACTTTTTTACTCTCCCTAGTAACTCTATATATATTCTTGTTCATTTAGAGTCGTGAGAGTAACAAACATAAACACTATGAAGATGAAGCTGAATCTGATAGTAATGAAGCTAAAGATTTTATTATCTGGTTAATTGGTAAGATTCAGAGATTAGAATTACTTCAAGTTCTGAATTGGTTACCAACCATCCATGTTATTTTATATAGCTGTTGGTGTACAGTATAATTTTAACAGATGAAATACTATAGAATGACATTTTGTTGTATTTTTCAATTACTTTGATTTTTCTAATTATTTTAATATAATGTGTTACAGTTTATTAATTATTTTTATTCTTATTAAGGTAACCATTTTTTATAGATTTAATATTAATAAATGAGTGAAATATGTAATGATTGTATTGTAGGTATTGGTATGTTGACCTTTGCGTTGTTCATGTCAGCACGGATGGGTATTTACCAAGAAGTATTATATAAAAAGCATGGAAAACACCCCAGGGAGGCGCTATTTTATTCGGTGAGAAATAATTTGTACACTTGGCTTGATCAACCTTTGTCATCATAATTATCATAACTGTGTATTTGTATTTATTTATTCTGGTGAACATTAAAGACAAAGAATATACCACCACCAGCAGCCAAGTACATAGGTCCACATGGTGTTAACAATCTAAAAACTTACAGAACACCATCGAGGGTAGTCTCAACTGTGGGCTAACAAAAGTACATAACAAATTCCATAGCATCAAGTTAAAATCATTAAACACAAATTGGTGGCCATTTAAAAAAAAAAAGTTTAAAGATAGTCAAGGTCTAAGCAAAATAGTGTCTGGAAGTTGATTGAAGAATCGTTGGAATCTAACAAAGGTAGAATTAAAAAAAAACATCTTTTTTAGCTCCCACACTTATGAACCTCACAGCATTAACCTTCCTTCTGCTAATTATAGGGAGAATGCTGTTATCAATATCAAAAACCTTATATAAGAACTTTGCTACGTAAACAATGATTAAATACTGTAATTTAAACGATTTATTAGTGTGCATGATTTCAGATGAAAGAAATGATTATTGTAGGACAATGAACTCTGCACATATTCTACTCTATTAATATGGTGTTGCTGATAAGGAAGCCAAACTTGGCTACCATATTCAAGAAGAGGTATTCATTAATTTCACCAATAGATTAGGATTCCTAGATCCAACAGTACGTCTGATGGCCCATTCAGCCTAAGACACTTATTGGTAATCATTTCAATGTGGTTACTCCAATTCAAATCTCGGGAAATGACGACACCCAATTACTTAATACTGTCAAAAATTTCCAGAGGGTTGCCATCAATCGGGTACAGGGTGTCATCACTACCAGTGGTTTCTATGATGCTGAGCACACTACATTTATCTGGATTCATACTCATACAATTATCCCTACCCCACGGAACAATAGTTTCAATATCATTTTAGAGGATTAATCATGGTGACATAAATGATGTGTTCAGTGTTGGTAACAGAATTAATAGTGTTGATGAAGGTGTGCCTGCTTATAGAGTACTACAGTGTTACGTCACGATACCATGTGATACTACTCCATTGCTATCGTTGCAAAGTGCGTTCAACCGGACGCCATTTACTCCACTGACGAACAATTGATCCCAATTTCTAATGTAATTATTAAGATGTTGTATCCTACTTTTTCTTTGTAAATTTTAATTGATGATTAATAACTAATATAATGCAAGCTTTTGTGTTTTCAGTACATTTTGATGGTAAAATATTAGATTTTAAAATGCCTATTCCAGAACCCCTATGAAGTCATTCAGGCTTAATGTACGGATACCAACGTCTGTTGACAACAGAGAGTGCCACCTGGCGTCGTGACAACACGACTGTGGTACTCTATGGATTATAATAGCATAATTGATAGTGTTGATGATAAAGATGATACATATAATAACTAATGATAATGATATAGAAATATGTGATGATAGTATTAATAATAGTAGTATTGATGGTTGAAATAATAGGCCAATTTTTGATAATGATAGTTGGTGTTGTTGATAATGGAGGCCTATTTTAACATGATGATATGATGTAATACTTAGTGATAATCATATAGAAATATAAGTTATGATAATATTAATGAATTGATGATAGTATGAATTAATGACAATAATTTACAGTTTTTGAACAACTTCAAAAATATCCTGTTCTGATACGCTTCTTAATAATCACAAATACTATGTTTTCGTTTTAGCATGCTATACCTCTTGCTGCCTTTGTATTTATTGGTAAAGACATAATTCACCATGCATCACTCTTCTCACAATCTGGTAAGTATTTTGAAAATTAGTTATTTTCAGGGGCGGATCCAGGAATTTGAGATAGAGGAATCCCGGAGAGAAACTTCACATGTGGGGGGTTTAGACCTCAGCCCCATCATGGTTGGGGCGGAAAATTTATGATTATGGCATCTCAAATTTTCAATTATAATTTTATTTTCTCCCTTTTTTTTAATGATTTTGAAAAAAAAAAATTAGGGGGGGGTGGTGCTCGAGTCAGTTGGGCTCTCCTTTTTGAAGTAGTTTCATTCTATAATGTTTTTTTTTTTATTTTGATATTAGCTTCTTAAGTATTATTAATTAGATATACTTTTAGATTACCTTTAAACTTTTTCAATTGTAATATTTTAAAGTTTAAGCTGACAACTTTATGTTTTTAATAAAAATAATAATAATGTATAGGTGTAATTTTTGCCCTAGCTGACGTGAAAATGTACCGAATACTCGGTACATTTGAAAACAACTGCGAAAAAAATCGCAAGTTGTTCTCGGGTGGGACTCGAACCCATGATCTCCAGATCACTAGCCTGGCATCATACCTCTAGACCACCGAGCTTGTGCCTGATGGCCAGGGTTGAATTTGAGTCCAAGTAAGCAGCGGGTACTGCAGTGTTGATAGTAATTGTTATTGTCGTGATGGAATAATAGACAATAACCTGGAAAAAACGTCAGGTAGGGCAAAAATTACACCTATACATGTTTCTCCTGACGCAAATCCAGTTATTGTCTATTATTCCATTACGACAATAACAATTACTATAAATAATAATAATAATAATAATAATTTGGATTTGTAAAGTGCAAAATACATAGGTCTCTATGTATTACCACTTCATATATTTTGTAACATGAGTTATGGAAGGTTTACTATTTGGTTTCTTTGTTTTTTCAGAGCCTGTACCAATTCCAGTTTTAGGTGTTGAAGTTCCTATACTGTGGCTTTATATGCTGGGTAACTGCATCACTCAATATCCTTTGAACATGCTATTAGGTGGTTACATATACTGTATATTAGTTCAGTGCATAGGCTTAGACAGCGAGTCGTCCAGCCATCTTTTGGACGTCCAGCAACTATTTAGGAAGGCCACTTTTACCGTGACGGCTTGGACGGCTTGGCCTAATCAACTCGGCCTACCCTAGGCCGGGTCAACCTTTAGCAAATTGATTGAATTTATATTCTTCAAATCTATCGAATATTACAATAAACTAAAGCTAAATAATATTTATGTTTAATAAAAACAACATTTATTGATTGAATGTACGTTGTTTTCATACCAACATTTGGTGGGGATTCTGAGAGTGAGATCATAATTTTCTTTTTTTTTTCTCATGTTCGGAAGGGGCGTGGCCTTGAGTGGGCATGGCCCGTTCATTGGCTTTCACTTTGGACAGCCTATTTCATTTTCCTGGCTAAGCCCCTGGTTCAGTGTATATTTCTTTACATACTGTCTGTTTTTGACTTACACTGTACTGTAAATACAGGACATTACTATTATTATTATTATTATTTTTTATCAGTGATAGTTCCTTGATAGTTAACATCATCATTATTACTATATTATCTAACCATACCCAGTATTACATGTCTATAATATTGGTACAGTCTGCCCTCCATTTCGAGATCCTTCTAATTTCGAGACCCCACTAACTCGAGACCACTTTTTTCAAGTACCAACTGACCACCTATCTTTTAACACTAAGCTCACCCTTTAAGTATGAGACCCCTTTAATTCGAGACTGAGACCACCTTTATGGAAGTACCAAGTGACAAAATGTGCTCCAAACAATAAATATTCTTTAATTTGAAAAATTGAACTTCAAAATTTTAACAGACGTATTTTCATAAATTTATTTTTAAAGGTTTAAAGTGTATTAACTTTAAAAAGAAACTTTTAGTTATAGGCCACTGGCTGTTGTAACGTATTCAGTAAATGTTTTACAACAATCTGTTGGCAACTATTGCCAAGAAGTGCTGTTGAATCAGCTGCTTATCCCTAATTTGATACAGTCCTGTGTTCCTGATTTTCTTCTTCAGCCATTCAATTGCTGCACTATCCCCCCAGCACCCAGTAGCCAAAGGAGGGGGAAATTTCCTTGCTAAAATCCAAGATATGTCAATAATTAATACTAAAAGCAAAAATTATTTTTTATAGTAACAACAACAATTATTGTGGGAAAATATTGCGGAAATCTGGTCAAAATGGAACACCTGACATACTGTAATGGTATCATCCAAAGATTTGTATAAAGAGTGTGATCTGAGTGTTTCCCTGTTGTTATTCGTATTGATGTGAAAAGAAGTGGATATCCAGCCCCATAGCCAAAAGGGGAGGTGGACAGGGCCATTAAAATTCAGATCCAACAATGGTGGTACTGAGGTGGGCGTGGCCCTTCCAGTACTTGGTAACTCCCCCCCCCCATTCTGATCAATGTGTCTAGCTACAGGGCTTCTATTCCCCACTTTACCATGACATGTGGAATTTTTAAACTCATTGGAGAATTGCTTATTGAAGATTGGGAATATAAGGAAAGGCCAAGTAACACAGAAGAAAATAACTTTTTTCCCTATGTAAAGGATGGACACCTACATACCTAAATCTAACTTTAGACAAAAGTTTAAATGTTGTTTACTTTATAGTATGCTGTTCAGATTTTGTTGGTCAAAAAAATTTAAAAGCAAACAACAGTTTCTTTGAAATAAATAAATGATTGTCCCATGTTGTCTTTTGGAGACCACTTTTATCTTCGGTCTTCATTTAGAGAATTTTAGGTTCAGATACCCTCCAATTATGCTGCTTGGAGACCACTTGAAGCGTGTGGTCTGTATTTAGAGGTTTCTAATTTGAGACCGAACCCCAAGACCACCACAAATTTCAGATACACAGAGTGGTCTCGAATTGGAGTGCGGACTGTATTAGTTAATATCAATACCAGTGATTATGTTTATATTTTTCTAACATAAATTATTAATACATTCAATTTTTCATGATTTATTCAACTTAACTCGGTTTTTTCACGTATGTTTGCATCCGTGCGGTGTTCTTTCTAACCACAGAATGTTCGTCGCTTGTCGTAACACTCGTCGTCACTTTACGGAAGTTCCTCAGTTTGATCTTCTCAATAATTTACTTCCAGAACCCGTTCACATTCTACCATTGGATTGGAACGGGCATGGTATTTGGTGGTACGCTAATTTTCTTGGGTTTCGTAGAAAAAGTTTCAAATGCTATATGGCCTGTTGCTAAAAAAGAAGAAAAAGTAGAGTAGCGTAGCTTAGTGGTAATGAAGATCAACAGTGGCAGATCTTCCTATTTTTTTCTTCTTTTTTTGTCTAATTTTGGGGAAAAAAATAGGAGGTGGGGGAAAGCCAGCAATGTACCCCCTTCCCCTTGAATCCGCCACTGATCAAAAATATAAAGTGTTGGTCTCAAATAATCATGTGATAATTGAGTGTGAACCCGCATTTAACCTATGAATCATGCTGAAAATGTTAACATCCTCAGCCATCTATCTCTGGTTGGCTCTAATGTGGTGCATAGCTTCAACTGATATCTCAAATTGGTCCATTGATATAAATACAGTATAAACTGTCTCATTCAGCATACATATTGTAGAATGGAATGATGCTCTACAAACTAAATCTATTTATGTGAACTAAAACTCTTCATAGAGATGCTAGTATTTTGTGTGGTGTAAATACATAACATTTAACCTTTAACCCAGTACCCTATATTGACCTGGGTACCCAACGAGGGTCATCGGCCGACGTGATTCTATGGAGAACGCCACGATGCGCGCACTGAATCTTTTTTGATGACGATCCGTTCAGACTGCTACCGCAGCATCGCGTCGTGTGCTCACAGAAAGTGGAGTTGGATTCGAGGATTCGATGGTTGTACGACGCATTGATTGCCCAGCTTTAGTAACCCACTATAAAACCGGAGTTGTGACCCACGGTCTTAATCAGAATTTTTACACTTTTGTGTGATTACTCCAAACAAATTATGTATCATTGTAAGAAATACTGCTTCGCTGTCATTTGATGCGTTGTAATCTAGTATTTAAAATTTAATTTTTCACCGAGCTTGTCATCTTCAGAAGATGTATGTAAAATTGTAAACTCTGAAATAATTTAGCAATAATTATGTTCTAGACAAGCCATGGAAAGGAGCTTTAAATTAGGCTATTATTATTTTTACCAGTGTTATTTTTATTTTATATGATTAGTCTTTGTTCTATTTTAGTGTACAGTAAATGGTTATATAGCTGCCTTTCTTGAATAAGTGTTTTTTGCTAAACACTGCCCTTAAATTAGCATTGCATTGCTTATTAGAGATATTTTTTATTTTCAATAAATGTTAAGGTGCTTAATCGAGAGTGCCTGCAATTTAATAAACACAAAATTGATAATTCTGTCATTGCAAGAAATCGGCCTATATAGAGTACTTGGTACCAATTTTGATGCTCTAACAATCCCCACCTCTCATTTAAATTGAAATAAAGGACTAAAAATTTCATAAGCGCTGTAACACAGGTTTTTACCATAGTCACTGGCCTATCAATATTTTATTACCAGTGTAATTTGTATTGTACAGGTATATGTAAAACAAATTTTTATATAAGTGAAGTCTTCACCAATATTTATTATTCAATTCTCCCTCCAATTAAAGAACACTTGAAATGAAAGAACACTTTTCTGTGGTCCCAAATTAACAAATGTGTTATCTTTATTATTTTAATTAGAGACCAAAGCTGCTAAAGACTATGGAAACCCAGGTCTCAAAAGTATTCTATAATTTTAGGGAGACTTGTACCTTTTTTATGTTTCAAGACCAGTCTAGTAAACTGGACATTAATTTGATGTGGATCAGGCTCACAACCTAGCAACTATCATACCTCTGAATAGGAAACTAGATTGAAATGCACATACAGTATTTGATTAGGTAATTATGATGATATTAATAAATACCTTTTTATTAACAGAACTTGATTAGATTAGAGGTTAATACTCTGTTATGTTTTAATCAAAGCAAAATAATGTTACCTCCTAGATTTCACACTATATTGCTACAAAACCAAGTCTAATTGTAATTGAAATATTATTATTAATGATAGTACAGTAATAACAATGTGATTGTTTTTATTGCCACATTAATAATGTTAGGTGACGTCAGTGCTCATAGGATGCATATACAGCTATACCAGGGGATGTCCACTAACAACCTCTACAGGTGCTAATCCTAAAGCTCATTCGTAGTGTACCCCAGGGCCAAGGGGGTTTCATTTGACCCGTAACATGACTAAGTCATGTGACATTCCTAGGTAATTATTTTAACACAAAAAAATCACTGCAGGGATTTTACTGAAACTGTGGCAACATTCCAGTCATTAAATCTTAACACTGTTCCCACTTGGATTTTTTGAGTCAGTTAGTTTTACTGTGAGAAATAGTAAAACTAACCAAGCTGAAAAAATCAACTATTGAGGGCGCTAATCTGTGAAAGCTTTGGATATTTGCACTGAGTAGCGCTTGTATAACTTGGGAAGGTTTAATTGGACATTTCAGCTCAGTAAATTAACCCAGTCAGTTTTACTGAGCACAGTCCATTTTTTTTTTTTATTAAACTAACCGTTCATCTTGGTATGTTTTCCTGGGAGGTATGTTTCCTAGGATGTTCGCACTGGATTAATTATGGTAAACTCATCAGTGTCTTTGTTAGTTTTAACAAAAAAAATAGTCCAGTACAATTACGACTTTAGTTTATAGACTGACGGATGTAATAAGCAATAAAATCTTGTTTTTCGTGTCACCGACTTATCCTTCAGAAAAAATTTTGCCTCTTTTTTTTTTTTGACCTATTTTCATTGTTGAAGTAATTTAAAGTGAAATACAACAAACTACTTATACAGTGAACTTAAATTAACATAGACCAGTATTAAAACATTAAGACCTCATGTATATAATCCATATATGGTGTTCTCTCTGTGATTTAAAATATGAAAAAAATGTTATATATAGTTATTATATAGTTTTTTATTTATTATTTTGGTATAAATCAAGCTCGCATTAATTCCAGTGCATGATGTTAGGTATGACAAATTTAAATGCTTATTAGAAATTGTATTGTAGGATAGTATCTTGTAAACCATAATAAAATTTTAATGGGATGTTAAAATATAAATCTTTGTTTTTTTTTTCTTTGTGTTTTATATCTTGATATTTATATGAATAAATACATTTTAATACTTGCATAGTGCTTTTCAAATTATGTCAGTATCAAAGCACATTCACTATTATTTATTTCATGGCCATTGGATCCTGAGGCCTATTCCTAATTTTCGCACACAGTACAATACATTTTACAGAGTTTTCTTCCGGGAACTCAATATGTGAATATGTGTTCCATATGTGCTTGATTCAATTATTGGGGGTAATAATGTAAAAAGCTTAGTAGCACTATGATAAGTCTTAGCATGTGATTATTGCAATTGTTGAGGCCAAAATTCAACGCTGCTCAGGTAGCCCGGGCTAACTGAGCTACACCTTGCATCTGCCACTGGGATTCATTCAAATTTGTAGGTAGAGACAAATGTATATAAAAGTGCCTTGCCCAAGGGCAAGCAAGTTGCAAGGGTTGAGATCAAACCCCAACCTCAGCACTTCACAACTGCTGCGTCAAAGCTGGTTTATATTTTCTTTTGTCTTTTTTCCAGTGATGGAAAAATAATTTTGTTGACAGAATGTCAATTAGTTCCTAACTCTGGGGCAACCGGCCTCTGGTCAGGGTCCTGACTGGTGTGATCAGGGAGGATTTATGATGATAAAAATTGTGCTTTTTGACCTCAATAATAAAAACTGCAATCACAATAGCTTGAGATAGCAATTAATATTTTTAGTCTGATGACAAAAATGGCATCTGGAACCGCCATGTCATAATTTCAGGATATACTGCCGCCAAAAATAAATAAAACCCTCATAATTGAAATTTATATTTGGATTTCTCATTTTAAAATCCACATCATTTAGCATTGTCCACACTATCAAATTTTATGTGATGCAATTATGTGATTTATTCCCATAACAAATACATAAAATTTGATTATGGACAGATATTTTACTATGAACATTCTTATGATTTCATTTTAAGATTAAAAACACTATATGATTGGTAATATTATTTAATTGTCCGTTACATATCGGATAATTGTTGAGGAAATTTGTTCATGTCCTAATTTTTTGTTGAAAGAATAACAAAAATATTAAAGTAATTAATACAAACTAAGCAATTTACTTTTTTAATTCGCGTTTATTATACACTGTTTTTCGTCATGCACAAAAGTTGGTAGAAATCGAGAAACATGAAAAACGTAAAACCGAAATAAAAAAAATATTAGCAAGTTAAAAGGCACTAAATATTTGTAGCAAATGTACAGTAAATAATATTAACATTAAATATCCAGTTTAATTTATGTCTTCTGTGTGAGTTGACAGGCCATTTCCTGTCATTTTGAGTGAGGAGGTTGGGAGGTTGAGTTCATTCTAACGTTGGGGGCGCTTTAGCTATTCTGTAATGTTATTTTTATATGCGGGTTGCCACTTTTGCCAGTCTGACACAGCTGTGGAGCGAACGAGAAAGAACGCAAATTTTCATATTTTTCGTTTAATGTCAATTTGGTTTCACCAGTGTTCACCATTATTACATACAGGTATGATACGATTTTGTGATTAATATTCGTATAAACTTAAGCAGTTATATGCTGGTAAATCCGATGCAAAATGCCATGCCCTGCTGCTCGCTTGGCCAAGCCAGACGTCAGTGTGATAGCTTGCGTGCAAGCCCGAAGTATGGATTTATAATGAAATTGGGCGGCGAAGGTAGCCCCAATTTAGGCGGCGAAACTAGGCCTAGGATAGTTATCAGGTAACACGGTTTTCGATTGATTCATTGGAAACTATGGACATTTTAGTTCCTGATGTAGCCTAAATGCGCTCATGTCCCGCTTTTCATTTCAATATTTTATCAGAATTTATACAGATATAAAAAGTATTGAGTAGGGCTGTAGTGAATGAAAGTAGGCCTACTATTAACTAAGGCCAAGGCCTAATAATATTAATAATAATGCAAGAAAAAATAATTAATAGTATAATGTAGAATGAAGAGAGGAGGAGGCACGACACAGCATTTTTCTCCTGATGCTATCAATAACATCAGAGGTTTTGTATCCTGTACACTGTAAACATAACGGTAGCTAATACAAACAAAAACACAAGAATGTTTTGATTGATATGCATAGTTACATAAAGCATGGAGGTATTATTGAGGAGATCACTCGGCAAAAGATCCCTTTGATGGACAAACTAATGCGTTCCCCACCTTTGGATTGCGTATTATCTTATTAACATTTTTTCGTTAGCAACAACTTTGCAACGACATACTTTTATACGCTTCAACACAGTAGTTGTGCGATAAACCGTTTGATTTTAAATAATTAATTATCTTTAAAATTAACAATGTTCCCCTGTTTGGATTGTTTGTACTTTGTTCTTGGCTCATTTCCATAGTGCTGCATACGCGGAGCTTTTTCAAGTGATCTTCTCAATAATACCTCCATGCATAAAGTATGTATAGTTCTTTGCACAGTGAAGGTGTCATGATGTGCTCAACAGAGGGGCTGAACGCTGGGACAGGCACAGGGGACTATATTGTGCAAAGCGAGCATTTAGGCTGCACGGCCAGGGGCCATACTATAAGGCATTATTACCTAACAACAAATACAACAATCAAACTTTCAAAATATGTAACTGGACTTCCATGCCTAAACCACCGTTACTAAATGATAAAAAATATCTTTTAAAATACAACATCAGAAAATTAATTTAGTTAATAAAATAATACAGTAACCTTGGCCTAGGGTTTACTGTAAAAATTATATTTTAAAGTAAATGTTGGTTAGCATCAGAAGCCTCATTTTGTGATGTTTTTTGTTGCACAAAACTAAGATTTTTTTAATATGGTTTGATAAATCATAAGATATTTGCTTAGAGACATATTTTTTTTGACTTAAAACAAATTTGCTAAGCTGAGATTTGATAAATCCCGGGCCTGGTACCCATTAGGTAGGCAAACATAGGTAAAGTGCATAGAGATAAACAAGGCAAAATTTTTAGTCCGTGATTCAAAACTGTGGCCTCAAAGCTGCGCCAACCATTTCAGATGTTTTTAAATCTATTTCTCAATGAATTACTCTAGATGAAATTCCTTCCCAGATAAAAGTTACACTTACTTATTAATTTTAATATAATTTATACGCAAACCATTATTCCCAATGATCCACGAACATCATACCTTGCATTTTAGAGTAAATAGCTACTATGTCTACGAATCATACTGTGTAATTAAGTATACTGTAGGCATGCTTAGTTTGGGTTTGGTATCTGCAAGCTTTGCTTGTAGAAATTCTTTACATTGAAGAGAGTGAGTTAGCACATTTTGACTGCAAGGAAAAAGTGCTATAAATTGAAGCAACCAAATGAGTATTAACAAGTACGTAAATTGTGCTTTTGTACTAATTGATTGTCAAATACAAGGCTGATGGCATTCAGTACAGCTTCTTTAGCCATTGTCAGTTTTATGCTGGAGGAAAGCTTTACATGTCGCTAGCATTCATTTCGATCTAGCCTGTCAGTACCAATTGATATACTGTAAACTGTCAGATTTAATGAGCAAAAATACAAGATAAAGAAATGTGATGTCATGTAAAAAATTTGTTTTCTTCAGAGAACAAAGCAAAGGCACGAATATACAGTAATAATAATTAGGCTTATACATCCTAGGCCTCTTGATGCAGATCAACGTCAAGATTCAAACATAGCACAGCCTAGGCTTAGCTAAACACGTTTTAAAACATGATTGATCTAAAGGTAGGAAAAAAAGAACAATAAAATTCTAACATTATTTATTACCGTAGTAAATTGCAACATTGCTCACGTTTTAAACGCTGGTAAACTATAGTATTTTCAATATTGTCTTCAGCCTGACGATCCAACCTATGATCATTGCGCAAATAATTAAAATAACAAGGACCTTTGTAGCTACGTTCAAAACTTACCTATGCATAGGTTACGACTGGTTACTCATACTCACCTCCCTGGAGAGAATTCCATAATATTGCAGCTGTAATCAGTGCATTTTGTGTTTGAACTTACCAGCTACCCACAGGCACTTCTGGGTGGAGAGAGACAACCATAAAGTTTCTTGTCCAGAAAAAAAAAGCGGAATGGGATTGAACCGCTGACCTGAAGGTCGAGAAACAGAACCACAAGTGCTGTGCCAAACCTCTCACTACTAACTTTTTCCTAATAACTTATGGGCTAGAAAAATATTAAAATACTGTACTGTAAATATTAAATTTAAATAATTATGGATTATCCCCTGCATTAGTATGTACAGATATTACATGTTGTCTCTACTTTGATTTGGATACAGGACCATCCAAGTGAATTTTTGGCTGCTCTCTTGTCTTTGGTCCTGATGAAGCTAAACTGCTATATTGTTGCTTTTGATTTTTCAATAAGGACACATTATTCAAAATACTAAAACACCTAAACAGATTTAATACAGAGCAGAAAAGCATAAACAATACTGAAGAAGTGACAATAGCTGGTTATTTATAGGAATGAGGAAAGTGTGCCAATGCTAGGAAGTTCTATTTTGATGATTGCTCTTGGAAAGGAAATCTTTGCCTTTATTATTGTGTAATCTGTTATTCTCTCCTACAGGAATTGCCCTCTTGTCATGACATGGTCTACACTTACTGTATAACTAATTTCATTGTCTATTGGTTTTTAATACTGATAATAATAATATTATTTTTACTAAGTAATATTACTGTACTTTTGTGTATAAGTTTCCTCAAAGTCACTTATGTATAAAATGCAGCTTTCAACCTACCGCTTAACAAAAGAAAAACAAATATACATAACGATTCCAAGAACAGACGTTCGCATCACCAATTATACATAAGTTGCACTGGCTATCTATACTATCTATAATTCTACTAATATTTAAAAAGCACTTTGTCTCAAACAAGCAACTACTTTTTATTTGACATCCTCCTTCCCTAATATATTACTACAGTAAGTATTAATACTTGGCCATTGTTTTGTGAGAGAAAAAATTGCTAGCTGCATTCATACATACGAAGTCTCATACATTTGGAGTGAGACTTGCGCATTTGGGGTCTGTGTCACACTCTTACTGTACTTAAGGACCAAAATCTCATCCATAAATGTAATGCCTTTGTAGGTACTGTTTGTGACCTTTGTAGCCCTCATCCTTACTCAAAATTACTACAGTACTTAAAATTGGTAACATCATGTATACCAACTAGTTACACTAAAAGCGCTGTCGGATAAGATCAATGGTGGCATTGGTACACACTGCCAGCCCATGCCAGTGTGAAAAGGTTCATGTGAACATAGGCAGATTCAAGGGGAAAGTGGGTTGCATTTTGGAGCAATAACTTTTCCGGGAAGGGGGCGGGGGAGGGTGTAAGGCGGGTAAGGGCAGTACTTTAAAAAATCTGCAAATTTGTCTCACTTGAAATTCCTATAGTTGTCTTGCACACAGCCACCGAATCGTTCAGAAGCACAGATAATTTTTATTTTTGGATGCCTGTTGTGGTTATAACTTACCTCAACTTATTTAACTAGATTGCCATCTGTGACCTTATTTAATGCTAGACTTTAAAACACATTCTTTTTCATCCATTGATTTTTTACTTTGGCTTATGTGTTATTGGATGGTATTTCCATCCTACACTATATGCATCCATTTGACATGGCCTATCATTTACACTGTTTGTGGTTAACATTTCACAACCATGTTTTACTATACAGTAGGCCAGGCCCTAATTAGTTGCGGTTAATTTCTAGTCAGGTCCATCACTCACCTCATGCATTTTGAATGGTAAAATTATGGTAATTATTAATTAAGCTTGAAAAAATACCTCTTTTTATTATAGTTTACAGTATGATACATGATAAAGTATGGTAATTATTAATTAAAGCTTGAAAAATTACTTCTTTTTATTATGATACAAAACAAGTACTTCAAGCTCTTCCTGACAATGACATACTATGATAGTCTTTTGTATCAGAAAATGTATTGCACAGGTTTATAAGAATGCATGTTTCTAGGTTAAGTATAGTAATTACTGAGGAGGTGAAGTTAACATCATTACCATAGAAACCAATATCAGCATATAAATTTATGTCAATATTCGAAGAGCATTAATTATCATTGATACATTACATCCTGTTACAGACTGTATATCAAATAATAGATAAAATCAAGTTTGTAGTATTAGTAATTAATGAGAGTTAAAAAAAAAACCTAGTTTTTAAACCCAGAAAAGGAGGATTTTTGTTCTGTAAATTTGTTTATAATACTTTATTTACATCACAATCTATAAGGATTTTATTTATTTGTACCAATACACTGTGTGTTTGTAATGTATTCTGAGAATTTTTTGCAAATGTTTATTAATTTCAATAGTTTACTTTGTCAGTTTGGATTCATGTTGTTTACTTTACTTGGTCCTCAAGGAAGACCATAGTCATTATAATGAATATAAATCATCTACCGTATAAAATAACGAATAAAGACTATTGCACTACTGCACTGGATCTAGCTAGACATCTTTCT